CGCGGTCCCTACGCTTGTCCTCATTATAGCAGCGGTGCCTCAATCAGCACGACGGAAACGCGGTGCGAAAATTACCAACACCCCCCCCCCACACACCGCGCCAATCGCAAAGTTGCCAATAAATAAATATAAACGACCTTCGTTTTTATTTTCAGTTTTTATATTAAAAAAAAAAAGTGTAAGTTTATTTACGAGGGTAAAATGACCGCGGACCCCTTTAGCAGGCGGAAGCGGAAGTGGATTTCGCCGCCACGCGGGAAGCAAAAATACATTTTCCCCCGAAGCGGCGGAGGCGCCGGGAGCCTCCCCTAGGTCGACTCAGCCTCAAACCAGTACAGTACCTGGCGCGGCGTCACGTACCGCGTCAACCCGTACGGTTTACACCTCCAGCAGCAGCACCACCAGCACCACCCCCCCCACCACCAGCACCACCACCAACAGCACCACCACCAGCACCACCACTAACACCACCACCAGCAGCACCACCACCACCAGCACCACCACCAGCACCACCATCACCACAAACAGCACCACCACCAGCACCAACAGTACCACCACCAGCACCACCAGCAGCACCAACAGAACCATCACCACCCCCCCCCCCCCACCACCAACAGCACCAACACCAACACCACCACCAGCACCACCAGCACCACCAACAGCACCACCACCAACACCACCACCAGCACCACCAGCACCACCAACAGTACCACCAACACCACCACCAGCACCACCAGCACCACCAACAGCACCACCACCAACACCACCAGCACCACCAACAGCACCACCACCAACACCACCACCAGCACCACCACCAGCACCACCAACAGCACCACCAGCACCACCACCAGCACCACCAACAGCACCAACACCACCAGCACCACCAACAGCACCAGCACCACCACCAGCACCACCAACAGCACCACCACCAACACCACCAACAGCACCACCAGCACCACCATCACCACCCCCCCACCACCAACAGCACCACCACCACCAGCATCATCACCACCCCCCCACCACCAACAGCACCACCACCAACAGCACCACCACCACCAGCATCATCACCACCCCCCCACCACCACCAGCACCACCACCAGCACCACCACCAGCACCACCAGCACCCGTGTTGTGTATTTAACTCAATTAAATATATGTGTGTGTTTGTGTTCTCTCTCTCTCCCTGTGATGGAACTTTGTAGGAAAAACGTTGAGGTTTATAGGGGGCACGGGGTGACCAGTAAGGTCTGAGTTGGTCTGTTATAAGGTAGGGCACTGATAAGGGGTTCACAGGTTTGTAATTATGGTAGTCTAGGGGCCGTCCATAAATGACGTCACGCACCTAGGGGGGGTCAGACATTTGTGACAGGGGGGGGTTGAGAAATGTGACGTCACATCAAAATGCGCAACTTTAAATAAATATAGACAACACGTTCTACTTAATTAAATAAACTTTTAAATAAATGTTTTCTCCTACAACATCAGAGTGCAGCGGCACATTAAATACGCAATAGTTTAAAGCGATTTGAAGCATGTTTTATCTTTTTTTTTGGGGGGGGGGGGGGCAGAGCTTTTTGACGTCATATTTGAGGGGGGGGTCTGACTTTTTGTGTGACGAAGGGAGGGGGGTCAAAAATCGTCAAAAATCGCGTGACGTCATTTATGGACGGCCCCCTAGCGTAGTGTATAGTAGTGTCAACCCATACGCCTTACCCCGTATTCTTGTACTGGGTAATTGAGTTTTCAAGTCCATACGGCGTAACAGCCGTTTCAAGACGGGCAACATCGTTTTTTTAAAATCCTTTATATTAAGTTCGCTTGCTTGCTTGCTTACGACCGTGCAAATCTTTCGGTCGTTTTTTAACCCACTTCCCGTGATCCAATCGAGCTGACATTTTCCACACAGACTCGTTGTGCGAGACAATTAATGTTCGTGAAAAAAAATTCCCAAAATTTTACACTGTTTAGGGGAATTTTTTTTTTATTTAATTACCAATTGCTTAATACTGGCAGACAATCATCTGACCCATAGGTGGCAGCCATCTCAAGCCATAGGACGAGAGGACTCTAGCCGCCACGCATATAAAGGATTTATAGTGAAAAACTTTGTTTTTACGGGTTTACTTGTGTATTTGCGTTTCTCTCCTTGTGATGGGACTTTGTAAGATGAACGTTGATATTTATAAGGTGCACGGGATGACCAATAATTCTTCTTCAGAAACGACCTCTCTCTTTCTGCCGATACGTGTTCTCTCTCTGTGTGTGACTTTGTGATGTCTGTCTGCTTGTGTGTCAGTCTATAGTGTTCTGGTTAGATTTTTGTTGCTATTTCTTTTATACCTGATGATGATTGCTTGTGTTGCAATCGAAACCTCGTAGTATGCAATTATTAAATTTATTATTTTATCTTTATACGTGACTTAACCGAAAGAACCAAAGAATAATTCCTGTAGTCACGAAAGCTCCGAAATTGAGAATGACCAATAATGTCTGAATTGGTCTGGTAGGGCACCGATAAGGGCTTGACAGGTATGACATCTAGATTTGAAGCTTTCGTGACTGCAAGGATTCATACTCTTAGTTCTTTCGGTAAAGTCACGTAGGTAAAAAATGAAATTTAAATTAATACAAATAAAACAATATTAATTTTAATTTCATTTTTTACCTACGTGACTTTACCGAAAGAACTAAGAGTATGTATGACATCGCCACTGGGGAGACAAAGGCGGTCGGGCGCGGTGTTGGCCACCCACTCCCTAGACTACCGTGCCAGCCCCCACGTGTGTTGCTAGCTCACAGCCCCTTGCCCCCCACAGCCTGCTGTTTAAAGGCGACATGGGGAATCTCTGTCTCCTGTGTGTGTGTGCTCCGAGCCAGGCAATGGAGGCGACTGTGCCGTGTGCGTGCAAGGGCGTGCGCACCTGCCTGGCCTGTGAGTCCGACGACAAGTGGAGGCGACACAACAACAACCGCCACAACAACAACGACAACAACCACAACAACAACAATGACAACAACCGCAGCGACGACGATAGCTGCAGAGAGGTTCGAGGTTCGGTCTCCACAATGCCAGTCCCGGAGGCTCCCTTGAACCAAGACGAATCGATATTTAAATCTTGACTTTAAAGCTTTCGTGACTGCAGGAATTCACATTGTTTGGGTCTTTCGGTAAAGCCACGTCGATAGAAAATAATAACTCCACTCCCCTCTCATCTCGCACAGATATTGTACTCTTAGATATAAAATAAATCAAATTATTTTCTACCCACGTGACTTTACCGAAAGAACCAACGAGTATGGATTCCTGCAGTTACGAAAGCTTCAAACCAAGATCGCACAGATATTGTTTTATTATTTTTCTAGCTACATGACTTTACCGAAAGACCCAAAGAATAAGAAACAATATTTGTTTACCTTACCAGGTAAGGCCCCGCTGAGCTACGAAGCTGTTTTGCAGAAGCCAAACTTCGTGAGGCTTATCACGTGGGAATAAATAGCGGCCAAAATGCTCTTAGCGCGTGACGTTGACTCAACGTATACGTGGAGGGAAAAACCGGAGGACCCGGAGAAAAATCCACGTGACCACGGGGAGACAGAGAACACGCAGACGCCACATACAGTAGAACCTCTGGTCACAACCATAATTCGTTCCATAACTTTGGTCGCAACCCGATTTGGTCGTGACTCGAACCTAATTTCCCCATTGGATTGTATGTAAATACGATTAATCCGTTCCAGATTCCTACGAACTGTATATAAATATAGTTTTTTAAAGATTTTTAAGCACAAATATAGTTAATTATGCCATATAATTCACAGTGTAATAGTAAACTAAATGTAAAAACATTGAATAACACTGAGAAAACCTTGAACAACAGAGAAAACTAACATTGCCGCGTCAAGGTTTAGAATCGTTCAACAAGATGATTGTTTCGTTTGCTACATCAGTCGGTCGATTCTGAGAGAGAGAGAATATTCGTATGAGCAATTCATGTTTCTATTGAAAGTAAGTTAACAGTAATATTTGGGTACAGTATTGTTTTTGGAAGCATTCACCGTAATATCGTATGAACGTTTGCTTCACCGCATCATCGTATGAATGATGCGAGAAGAGATTAACGGGTTCTTATGTTAGCGATTTACGTACTCAGCGCTTTCGCTCTCTAAATTACGGCTTGAATGAGGGGGGAGGGGTATGACTACACTCACAAAATTAATATCTTACCGAGACCGATTACTAAGCGAGACTGAGCAAGCGGCCACACGTGGGTCGCTGTTGTTTGTAAACAAACAACAGGAAATTTGGTGCTTACAAAAAAAAGTGGCACGGAAGGGGAAATCGGCCGCGGCCGTGTTTGATCGCCACCCGAGTTTGTGTTCGTGACCAGATTCAAAAATTTTGTTAAATGTCTTTTGGTCGGAACCCGATTTGGTCGTGGTCAGAAGCGTTTGTGACCAGAGGTTCTACTGTGTACAGACGTCAAGGTCGCGATCACGCGAGGGAGTTAACATCTCCTAGCCACTGCGGCGCCTCGACCGCCTTTGCCCGCTTTAATTTCGATTTAAAGCTTTCGTGACTGCAGGGATTCATCTTCTTGGTTATTTCGGTAAAGTCACGTAGAATGGAAATAAAAAAAGAATTTTACATTATTAAATGTTATTATTATTTTATTTTATTATGTTTTATTTTATAAGTTGAGAGTGAAATTACATCTTCTTGGTTCTTTCGGTAAAGTCACGTAGAAGGGAAGTAATAAAATAATAAAAATAAAACATAATAAAATACAATTCTCACGACGTTTCGGCCACAACGCTTTGCCCGCGCTTTGTCGACGTTCCAGCTTGTGCTGGAGTTTGATCCGGCGCTGGGGCTGGCCGTGGTGCTGCCGGGCTTGCCGCTTGCCGGACTGGCGGCGAGCGTGGGCGGCGTGCACGTGTGGCGCGACTTCCTCAGCCCCGAGGAGGAGCGAGAACTCGTCGCCGCCATCGACCGCGACGAGTGGAGACCGTCGCAGTCGGGAAGACGCAAGCAGGTGCAGGCGCGCGCTCCCGCCTCCTCCCTCTCATCTCACTCCCCTCGGAACTCCTCTCTCAACTCGCATCTCACTCACTTCTCAGCTCACTCCCCTCTCATCTCACTCTCCTCTCATCTCACTCCCCTCCTATCTCACTCCCCTCTCATCTCACTCCCCTCCGCACACACTCTCTCACCTCTCCGCCATCTCAAAATACGCCGGATTAAAAAAACACATCGCATTGCCTTGCACAACGCCGAACGTTTTCTCCTCTCTCCTTTAACACCACCTCAACCCCCTCAACCCCTGCCGGGAACCCCCCACCTCGCCCCCCACCCCGCCCCCCACCTCGCCCCCCACCTCGCCCCCCACCCCCGTCTCCTCCTCCCCGCCCCCCACCTCGCCCCCACCCCACCCCCCACCTCGCCCCCCACCTCGCCCCCACCTCGCCCCCACCTCGCCCCCCACCTCGCCCCCCACCCGCCCCCACCTCGCCCCCACCCCGCCCCCACCTCGCCCCCACCCCGCCCCCCACCTCGCCCCCCACCCCGCCCCCCACCTCGCCCCCCACCCCCGTCTCCTCCTCCCCCCACCCCGCCCCCCACCTCGCCCCCCACCTCGCCCCCTACCCCCGTCTCCTCCTCCCCCCACCCCACCTCGCCCCCCACCCCGCCCCCCACCTCGCCCCCCACCCCGCCCCCCACCTCGCCCCCCACCCCGCCCCCCACCTCGCCCCCCACCCCGCCCCCCACCCCGCCCCCCACCCCGCCCCCCACCCCGCCCCCCACCTCGCCCCCCACCCCCGTCTCCTCCTCCCCCCACCCCGCCCCCCACCTCGCCCCCTACCCCCGTCTCCTCCTCCCCCCACCCCACCTCGCCCCCCACCCCGCCCCCCACCTCGCCCCCTACCCCCGTCTCCTCCTCCCCCCACCCCACCTCGCCCCCCACCTCGCCCTCCTCCTCCTCCCCGCAGGACTACGGGCCCAAGGTGAACTTCCGCAAGCGGCGTGTGCGAGCGGCCGGCTTCTCGGGGCTGCCGCCGCTGAGCCGGGCGCTGGCGCTGCGCGTGCGCGCCGCCAGCCCCGCGCTGCTCGGCGACTTCGTGCCCGTCGAGCAGTGCCACCTGGAGTACGAGCCGTCGCGCGGCTCCAGCATCGACGCACACCTGGACGACGCGTGGCTCTGGGGAGACCGCCTCGTCACCGTCAACCTCCTCTCGGACACGGCGCTCACGCTCACTCGGCCCGCGGGGCGGGCGGGCGGAGACGTCGGGGCGCGGGAGGGTGCGGCCGCGGGGACGGGAGATGCTGGAGAGGCCGCCGACGGGTCAGGTCAGCCGCCGCCGCCGCCGCGAGGTGACGGGGAAGCCGCGGGTGGGAGGAGGGGCACGGCGGCGGGGGGGGACGGCGAGGGAGCTCGGCACGAGAGGGAACGCCCGGAAGGTTTGGAGGAGCGCAGGGATGGGCCGAGACATTCAGGGGACGTGGGGACGCTGACAACCGGGGTAGCGGTAGGGGGGTATTTGGGAGGAGTGGAGATCGGCAACGGCGCGGACGACGTCCAATCGGCGGGAGGTTCGGGAGAAGTTGACGACGACGATGATGACGACGACGGGGAGTACGTCACGTTGAGGCCCCTTTCTTTTTGGCAGCAAAGACGGGAGAACCGGCTCCGCCAAAACCCGGCACCGGACCTCCAATCCCCAATCGCCACCACACCGCAAATGCACCGTCCTCCCGCTTTTCCGGACTCGTGTGTGCGCGTGCCGGCGTCCTCGGTGACGGTGCGCGTGCCGTCCCCGCGCCGGTCTCTGGTGCTGCTGCGGGGCGCGGCGCGGCGCTCGTGGCTGCACGCGGTGCGGCGGGGCGACGTGGCGGCGCGCCGCGTGTGCATCACGCTGCGGGAGCTCTCCGCCGAGTTCCGGCCGGAGCCCCGTGCCCTGGCGCTGCTCGCCGACGCGGCGCTGGCGCCGGAGGGGACGGCGCGGATGGACCAGGTGGAACCGGAGGAAGTGGCGGTGACGACGGCGATGACGACGGCGATGACGACGGCGATGACGACGGCGATGACGACAACGGCGACAACGGAGGTCGGAGAGCTGCGAAGCGGTCGCTCGGCGGAGATTGGGGCGCAGTTGTTGGCGACGGCGCTCACGTTCCGGGGAATGCCGGTGCTGTGACCGGTTCCGACCTCGCTGCGCCACGAGCTCATTCGAAACTAAAATGCATCTCGATAATAATATTCCTCAATTTCGATTTAGAGCTTTCGTGACTGCAGGGATTCATCTTCTTGGTTCTTTCGGTAAAGTCACGTAGAAGGGAAGTAATAAAATAATAAAAATAAAACATTAAATAATTCTCACGACGTTTCGGCCACAACGCAAGCAGCCGTCCTCAGGTGAAGAACAGGTCATTCAGACGCTGTCTTTCCAACAGACCTGTTCTTCACCTGAGGACGGCTGCTTGCGTTGTGGCCGAAACGTCGTGAGAATTATTTTATCATGTTTTATTTTTATTATTTTATTATTTCCCTTCTACGTGACTTTACCGAAAGAACCAAGAAGATGAATCCCTGCAGTCACGAAAGCTTTAAATGTCTGACATAGTGTGGGTGCTGCGGTGTGCAATACGGCAGCTCTAAACAACATCCCCGTGGACAGTTGAACCCACTGACAACCCGGAGGCTCGCTTAATAAACTAAATTATTTTTTATTTGACCAGGTAAGGCTCACCGAGCTATTTTAAAAAAAATCAGAAGCGACCTGCGCTACAAATAATAGCTCCGATATTAGGAAGCCATTGGGAGCTATGGCACTTTTAAATCGAGATTGAAAACTAATTTCTTTAGCGACTGCTTTTTGTGTTTAGTTTGTCGTCCTTCCCCGCACCTCCGATTGGCACAATTGGCTACGTACGGTGCGAAAGAAGTTGAACATACAACGAAGTGGCTCATCATGTTAAAAATTATAGCAGACAAATACTCTCGGATTCTACATGTGGAAGGAAAAAACTGGAGGGCCCAGAGAAAAATCAACGCGACCACAAGAAGAGGCACGCAAACTCCAAATATACAGCAGCAGGCATCAGGGTCGGGATCGAACCCACGACCTCCTGTATACCAGGCGAGGTAGTTAACATCTAGCCACCGTGATGGTGATGAGAGAGATGCGCAAACTCCAAATATACAGCAGGCGTCAGGGTCTGGATCGAAACCTTGACCTCCTGTTGTATACCAGGCGGCGTGGAGATGCAGCTATACCAGTCGCTCGAGACGTTTTAAGTCGCGCGGATGTTGAATAAAGCTGCTTGATGAACGAACGCACCGCTGCCGTGTCGCTACTGGCATCGTGATGACGACGACGACGACGATGATGATGACGATGATGGCGACGGGGAGTATGTCACGTTGAGGCCTCTTTCTTTCTGGCAGCAAAGACGGGAGAACCGGCTCCGCCAAAACCCGGCACCGGACCGCCAATCCCCAACCGCCACCTCCGCCACCGCCACGCAAATGCACCGTCCTCCCGCTCCTCCGGACTCGGGCTCGTGGTTTGCGCAAGCCGGCGTCCTCGGTGACGGTGCACGCAGCGCGACGCGGTGCGACGTGGCAGTGCGTCGTCGCGTGTGCACCACGCTCCGGGCGCGGCTCGCGAACGAGGCCAACACCACGCCCGACCGCCTTTGTCTCCCCAGTGCTGATTTTTACAAACACCGCACAAGGTACTTATTTGAAGCCGAGTCGACGTAGGGGAGGCACCGGACCGGTTTACGATAACCGTCAGCACATGTTGGCCATGAGCTGGAATCAAACTCGGGCCGCCGGGTTCGTAGCGCAGTGCACTTAACACCACAGACCACCGCTCGCCACACGTTTAATAGGACACGGACACACACACACACACGAGGTTAAACGTGAACACAACGATAGCGTCCTTTATTAGGTAGCGTAAAACCTCACCGAGTCTCGATATTGTTTGTTCACACGGGTCCTCGCTTGGGGATGTTAGCACACGAGTGAAGGGGGAAGGAAAACTAAGCACCTAAAAATAACGCTAAAAACCAAATCCAAACCCGGTCTCCTGGAGCCGAGTCTCAACCAAGACTCCGACCCTGAGACCCGGTCTCCTGGAGCCGAGTCTCAACCGAGACTCCGACCCTGAGACCCGGTCTCCTGGAGCCGAGTCTCAACCAAGACTCCGACCCCGAGACCCAGTCTCCTGGAGCCGAGTCTCAACCAAGACTCCGATCCTGAGACCCAGTCTCCTGGAGCCGAGTCTCAACCGAGACTCCGACCCCGAGACCCGGTCTCCTGGAGCCGAGTCTCAACCAAGACTCCGACCCCGAGACCCAGTCTCCTGGAGCCGAGTCTCAACCAAGACTCCGACCCTGAGACCCGGTCTGCTGGAGCCGAGTCTCAACCGAGACTCCGACCCTGAGACCCGGTCTCCTGGAGCCGAGTCTCAACCAAGACTCCGACCCCGAGACCCAGTCTCCTGGAGCCGAGTCTCAACCAAGACTCCGACCCCGAGACCCGGTCTCCTGGAGCCGAGTCTCAACCGAGACTCCAACTCTGAGACCCGGTCAGGGTGTTAGGGCAGTGGCGGTCTCCCCTGCGCCCCCGCCCCCTATGCTGCCTTGGTTCCTCCCGGCACTTTGCTGGAGAAGAGGTTGATCCCGGAGCGCTCGGCGTCCTGCTTGACCTGCGTGCGCGTCGCCTTCTTGATGGCCTCCGGGGACACGGTCTCCTGCTCCGCCATCTGGCGCAGCTGCCTACAGCGGCCGTAGGGAGAACGACAACCGCAAGAGAGGGGGGAGGTGAGACGCTGGCATGGTGTGCGGTTTGCGGTGCGTGTCCGCGCGTGGCATTGCCTTCCTTTGTGCCGTTCGTGGTGGTGGTGTCTGTGCGGTGTGCGGTTTAACTCTCCACGTGTGAGAAATAATAATAGTTGTTTACCCTTCCTGGCACGAAGCCAGGAGGTGTTCGTATGTTCGAACACCAAACAGACACGTTCTGCAAGGAAATCAAGCCCGCATGAACCGCACACGGCACTTGTGATTTCCCTCTCTGCGTGATGTGTGACGCTCTCCATGCGGAGCGCGGCGGCGGCGGCGTAGTCTGCGTGCTTGCGGCCCTCACTGCGTGCGGATGCACGAGGCCTCCACGGCGTTGATGAGGAGGCTGCGGAAGCCGCCGCTCTCCAGCAGGTGGATGGCGTGGATGGTGGCGCCACCCGGGGAGCAGACGTCGTCCTTGAGCTGCCCCGGGTGCTGCTCCGACGTCAGCAGCATCTTGGCCGCCCCCTGCGCGGAGAGGCGGTTAGAGCACGGCGGCGAGCCCCACCCTCCGAGGAGACCCGAGTTCAAGCCCCGGGGCTGTGCGTGCGAGCGAGCGAGGGTGCGAGCGAGTGTGAGTGCGAGCGTGCGTGCGAGCGTGTTCTCTCTCGTCTCTCTCAGTGACACGGGCGGGGGCAGAATGGCCACGTGAGCTATTGCTGACGGGCACAACAACAACTACTGGCATTCGTCCACTAAGTGGCGGTGACGTCACCATGGCCGCATGTGCCAGGCTAAGTGCACTTTAAGGCCACGTGAAGTGTTGAACGCCCTCTGGCAGGAGGCCACGGGACAGACCCAGGTGCAATAGGTTGACTGAGATGAATGGCCGATGCATCAGCTGTGCCCCCTACTGTGCCAACTCGCTGTAGTTTAGCCGCCCGGAACTCCGCTCATTGTTGTGAGCGGCGTTCATTGTTGTCAGTGTCGCCCCTCTGCCCTTCATTGTTGTACGAGTGTTAGAGGGCGACTGCCTCCAACTGCCCAGTAGCGTCCTTCACGAGCCTCCTCCATGGAGGCCGATCTTGACACCGCTGGTACCAGTCTTCAGCAAGTCCACTCAGCTCCACATCCTCCTGCACCACATGGGCCCATCTCTTTTCCAGCCCATGTCGTGCCCATTTAGCCCGTTATATCCAGCCAAACAGAAGCTGCTTGGGCACGTGGTGGCTGGGCATGCAATGGAATGCCCAGCCACCACATGCCCAGCCACCACATGCATGTGTGTGTTGGCTAAATGACCCACAAAAAAAGACGAAGATCCCCTGTATAGCCTGTAACAGACTGTTGGGGCAAGTGCTGCTAGCGAGCACCTATGATGGCCAGCACCACGCCCGGCCGCCTTTGTCTCCCCAGTGGCGATGATTTTTACACACTGCACCAGGTACTCATTTGAGGCTGAGTCGACCTAGGGGAGGCCCAGGACCGGTTGGCCATGAGCGGGAATCGAACTCTGGTCACGGGGTTTGTAGCGCGGCGCGCTAACCGCTACACCACCGCTCCCCACTATGATCCACACGTACACACACAGACACACACACGCACACACACGCGCAGACACGCACACACACGCACAGACACGCACACGCACAGAAACACACACGCACAAACACACACGCACAGACACACACACATGCACACACGCACACACACGCACGCAGTCCTGCAGGCCGCTCGTACCAGCAGCGTCTGCGCTCCGAGTCGCACGGCGAGACGGCGAGGCAGCCCCATCTTCACTCCGCCGTCAGCCAGCGCATCCACCGCGGTGAACGCCTGCGCAGCGACGCGGCGGCCACAACGCAACGGTCGCAACGCGGAATATTAATACGCAATCTCAACACGCAATCTCAACACGTGCTCTTAAGACGGGGTGGGTAGGTAAGGTGGGTGGGTAGGTGGGTGGGTAAGTGGATGGGTGGGTAGGTGGGTGGGTGGGTAAGTGGGTGGGTGGGTGGGTAAGTGGGTGGGTGGGTGGGTAAGTGAGTGGGTGGATAGGTGGGTGGATGGGTGGGTGGGTGGTTGGGTAGTTGGGTGGGTGGTTGGGTAGTTGGGTGGGTGGTTGGGTAGTTGGGTGGGTGGGTGGGTAGTTGGGTGGGTGGGTAGTTGGGTAGGTGGGTGGGTAGGTGGGTGGGTGGGTGGGTAAGTGGGTGGGTGGGTAAGTGGGTGGGTGGATAGGTGGGTGGGTGGGTGGGTAAGTGAGTGGGTGGATAGGTGGGTGGATGGGTGGGTGGGTAGTTGGGTGGGTGGGTAGTTGGGTGGGTGGGTAAGTTGGGTGGGTGGGTAGTTGGGTGGGTGGGTAGTTGTGTGGGTGGGTGGGTAGTTGGGTGGGTGGGTAGATGGTTGGGTGGGTGGGTAGTTGGGTGGGTGGGTAGTTGGGTGGGTGGGTAGTTGGGTGGGTGGGTAGTTGGGTGGATGGGTGGGTGGTTGGCTGGGTGGGTGGGTGAGGAACTCACGTAGGCGGGGCCGCTGCCGCTGAGGCCCGTGACGGCGTCGATGAGGTCCTCCTCCACCTCGGTGCAGAATCCCACGCTGCCCATCAGCTGCTCCAGCAGGCGGCAGTCCTCCGCCTCCGCGTG